GGGAGGGAGGGAGCTCGTGGGGGGGGGTCTCTTCGCTGAGAGCCCGCCGGCCACTGAGGCAGTCAAAGGGGGCTGTCCTTGTTCTCACCGTCCTTTACGAACCTGGAGGCTCCAGTCAAGGGAAAATCCGCGACTAGCCCCCACTACTGGCTCAGTCTGCTCTATCAGCCAACGAATCGGCAAAGGGGGCAGTCCGAGAGTCACATTATAAAGGGCAGGCGGCCGAGTGAGAGGCGGAGGCGCCGGCGGCGGATTGCTGGGATCGGCGTGGCGACGGTTGCCTCTTCCTGAAGCGAGAGAAAGAGACGAGGGGCTGCGCGCGGGGGCATCAGCCATGTGCGGTGAGTGAGCGACCGGGGCCAAACTCTCTGAGTCGCTCTGCGGAAAGCTGCTAAGAGCCAGGCTAGGGGCGAAAAGAGCTGTGGGCAGAGCTCTCTCCGGGGAGGCGAGAAAGCATAGCGTTTTTGCGGCATGAAACCTAATCAGAGCTTTCCCACTGATATTTGAGGGAACCCTGCGTGAATTTTGCGAAGGCAGACGGGAAAGGCACGAAAAGAGAGGAGCCTGTCTCACTTCACCGTGCAAGTTTTTTCTCTCTCTCTCTTTCCCCATCCCCATCCTTGGTATTTCAGTGCCTTTCTTTCATCCGGGTAGCCATTAGCCACAGACTGTTGTGTTCCTAGCCTTTCTCCCTCTAACGTTCTGCTTTATCCAGTTCTGTCCGTGTCTTTGGGAGGGTGAAGCCCCGCATCTTCTCATGGGGAATGGACTGAAAAGAAACAGGAGTGGCAGGAATTCAAAGAACAAACTTTTATTTATTTCTTCTTCACAGTATACCTCTCTTCTTAAATGCCTCCTTGGAGGAACTGAAGTTCTTGAAAGTCCAGGTTTCTATTCGTTTCCCTATCCTTTATGCTCCAAACTACATTTTGGTGTCTATTTTTTTAAAGAAATTAATTTTTGTTCATGTTCTCAAATGGGACATAGCCAGTATGCGTTCACCAAGGACCAAGGATGTAGTGCAGCTTCTATACAACAAGTAAAAATGGGGTGGAATCTTTTCTCAATAAACCTAATCAAGGGGCTGCCAAAATCGTTCAGTGGGCTTGCTCACATACCTACTTATTAATTTAATATATATGTCTGCCTTTAGAGCAGACATAAACCGTATTGGTTTTCCCTGTGTTGCTCCAGTTTTAGTCCATGTGCTGCTGAAGAAAGTACTTGCTGCAAATAACCAGCTGCCTGCTTTTCCTTCTTGGGTTGTGCCCTGTTCCTGACAAATAGTCATCTTTATCATGTGGCATGAACACAAGTTTCATACACTGTTGTTTAACCTGAACCCAGAAGGTTTGAGAGGGAGTGCAAAACTGCAATTTGTGTTCATTCAGATCCCACATTGTTGTTCAATGAGTGCCCCCGGGGGGGGGGGGGGGGGTCTAGCCACACAGAAGCTCTACAAAGGATCTCTAAAACCGTGGCTGACATTTCTTGCATTATAATTTCTAGTGCTGCTATCAGAACAATTGAACCAACAAATATTATGTTAGGGTAATAACTAAATGGTAATATCCGAGAGCCAGTTTGGTGTAGTGGTTAAGTGCATGGACTCTAATCTGGGAGAACCAGGTTTGATTCCCCACTCCTCCACTTGCAGCTGCTGGATGACCTTGGGCAAGTCATAGTTCTGTCAGAGCTGTCCTTGAAAGATTAGTTCTCTCACAGCTCTCTCAGCCCCGCCTACCTCACAGGGTGTCTGTTGTGGGGAGGGGAAGGAGTTTGTAAGCTGCTCTGAGACTCTGAGTGAAGGGCGGGGTATAAATCCAATTTCCTCTTCTTCTTCTAGAAATTTAAAGAGAAATTTACAGTGCCATTCTAAACAGATTATATTCTTCTAGGCCTGTTGAAGCTTAGAATAGTTTAACTCAGAGGTGTCAAACTCATTTGTTACAAGGGCTGGATCTGACATAAATGTCTCTTTGTCAGGTCGGGCCATGTGTGCTATAAAATGTAATGCCATGTACTGGATAGAAACTGTATAAAGGACAGCAGCTGGTAAGCTCCGAATTGGTGCGTCCTCACTGCAAGGCCTCCTGGGGTGGGGTGGGGGGTGCAGAGGAAAAGCCACAGAGGCGGTCCAGAGAGGCAGCAGTGCAATGCTAGGCAGATGCTCCCACAATGCTTGACTTCTGCAGGTGAGGTTGTTCTGCTGTGTTAAGGCCATAACGGAGTGCCTCTGCCCGCTTTCCCCCCCCCCCAGCACTCCCTCCCTTCCATCGGTTGCTCATGGGCTGCATAAGAGCCCTGGATGGGCCAGATCCGGCTCCTGGGCCTTACGTTTGACACCCCTGGTTTAACTCTTCGGATGACTGTTAAAATAAAAGTTCAGCGGTGTTCATTAAATCTCATTAAGCAGGTATGGGCTGTACTTACATATGAAAATTTAGACTAGACGTTGATTTGGAAGCTGAATGTAGATGGGCCTCCTTCTGTACATTCAACACAGGAAGTTTGCCAACCCTTCCAGTCAATTAAACCAATGAACTCTTTCAAAGGTGAACAAAAGGTACCTTTTTTCATCTGCATAAGAAGATTCTGTTCCAGCAGAACTAGCCTATTAAACTGCCTAAATTGACCATACTACGCTAAAGAAAATCTCTTCAGAAGTGCCCTGTATTACTGTTGGTTACTATTCTGAGGTTTTGCATATAAATATAGGAAAGAATATTATAAAAAATAACACATCTGGCCTTTGATTGAAGAATAGGGTAACACAGTTCAAGTGCAGCTAAGAGCTAACTAAAGAGTAGCAGTGAATCTGGTGTGATATCAGACACTTAGCCTTTCTAAAACTCTCTGTGCTGCCATAGCAACCAGACGTTTTTAGTGATGTCAAAAGAATTTGTAAATAGAAATCTGTTCAAAATGTCACTGGAAGTGGAAAAGGAAAGCTTCTTGTGCCAGGCTGAAAACCCCTCATAAAATGGACATAATTTGACACATTAGTACTCTGCTTTTGGGGAGGACATTAAGTTGCACCCAACTTATGGCAAACCCATAGAGTTTTCAACACAAGAGACGTTAAGAAGTGGCTTGCTATTACCTGCTTCTGTGTAGCTATCCTGGTATTCCTTAGCAGTCTCCCATCCAGATACTAACCAGGGCAACCTCTGCTTCTGAGATCAGATGGCTAGCCTGTCCAGGTAAGGTAATTCTGCTATGTACATCTTTAAAAACTAAACTCATAATCAGTGTTTCCCTCTAAGCTGAGTTAGTGTGAGCTAGCTCACAATTTTTTAGCCTCTGGCTCATACATTTTTGTCTTAGCTCAAGAAGGATGGCTCCAGAGCAAACTAATTTATGCAGTAGCCAGATCGCTCACTCACAACTTTAATGCCATTAGCTCACAAAGTAGAATTTTTGCTCACAAATTAGAGGGAGCATTGCTCATAATATTCTAAAACTTTTATTTCTTTTACATTTTACCAAAGCTTTATGTCTTCAAAGGACTCTGAAAGATGTACCACTGGCTTGTTGGCTTTTGATAAGGTAACTACTTTAGTTGTGTAGCATTAACACTATAAATACCTGACCAGATTTATTGGACATGGTGGAATTATTTTATGACAACCTGAACATATTGTTCAAGAGCCACATGTGGGATTACTGTCACTGAGTTGAATAAAATGAGAGTTGAAGCCTAAAAAAACCCCTAATGACTTTGTAGAAAAGAGCAAGTGTCCAGTAGCACCTTAAAGACTTAACAAAATATGTGGCAGGCTATGAGCTTTCATGAGTCACTGCTTACTTCTTCAGATACAGGTAGAATGGGAGTCCATTTGTCCTATTTATTGGAATAAGTATCCCATCTTCCGCCCCTGCCACACGGGGGGGGGGGGGGCACGGGCAAAGTGCGGCTTTTTAAAGCCGCACCAAAAGAGACACGCAGTGGCGGGATCACATAGATCCCCTGAGCCGCTGCACACTTCCTCCCCGGCATGATCAGATGCTGGGGGGAAGCCACTGAAAGGGGAGCGAGGCAGCCAAACTGTGCATGTGTGCGCATGCGCAGTTCGGCCGGGAGCCTGGATTGTTCCAGACAACGGGCGCGCCGGCGATCCCACGGCCGCGCTTGATGCGGCGTTCCCCGTAAGTCCTCCTCTGGGGGTGGGGTTTTTTTACTGCGGGTTTCCGGCCTGAAGGCCCGGATTGGGGACGGGTGTGCGCCGCTTGCCAGACGTAGCGGTGAGATCGCGTCCATTTGCTGTGCCCCAATCCGTCCCTCTCCCGGGCCAAAACCTTCCGTGTGACCGGGGCCAGAATTTAATGAGATTGGGTGGCTTTGTGAAAACTTGCCTTTCGTTTCTAGCAGTGTAATCCAAATCGGAGATGTACCCTTCTAAGTCCACTGGGGCTAAGAGAGGTGTAATTCTATTTAGGATTGCACTTTGAGTCAGAACTGTTCTTTTGTAAAATTAGGATTCTTGAGAACACGACATAAGAACATCAGCATAGTCCTTCTGGATCACACCAAAGTCCTATGGTCCAACATTTTGTTGCCAAAACTGCCAGCCTGATGCCTCTAGGAATCTCACAAGCAAGATTTGAAATCAATAACTTTCACATAACATTTGTCCCCTAGCACTTACTATTTAGAAGTACATTGCTGTTGAAAATAAAGGTTCCATTCATGGGTAATGACTATGGATGGAATTTGTTGAACCATTTAAAAAGCCATTCAGCCAGCCTTAAGGTTGCCAGATGCCCGAAGATGAAACATGGTGCATGGTGCTGCCCTACCTTTTTCTTTCTTTTTTTTTTAAGAGACTCGTATCTGGGTGCTGGATCTTATTGTGAGTGGAGAAAATGGGAGGTTGCTGAATGTATTGATTTCACTGCAAGGGAATGCTGGATTGTCATCCCCAAAATATAGTATGAAAGGGAGATACTAGTTTACATGAAGGTGGAATCTTGTGTAAGAATAACATAAAAGCAGAGTCTTTTCTATGGAATCAAATTCATAACTAAAGATAATATATAAGTTGGAAGTTAATTCTTCAGCAGACTGGCTTGAGCTCACCAAAATGAAATCTTTCCACTCATGGAAACACTCTGGTGGATCCAACCATATGTTTCCATCTCAGAAGACAGAGGTTGCTTTGCAGCAAGCTTTAGATATATTTCACAACCAACTTTATATAAATATTATCGGCAATGCATGTTTAAAAAGAAACAATGGTATGTATGGTGTCACTCACTTGTAAGCCTTGAAGTATGGTACACTGATATCTTAATCCTGGCGAAATAACTCAAGAACCAACTTCCGTGTGGAATTTCCCCA